TGCTTTCAAATACAGAAAAATCAAGCTGGTACCCAACTAGAAGCTTCACTCTATTGTCTAGTGTTCATGGTGCTAGAAGGTACTTTACATCCTACCAGCTGAGAAGAGTAAGTATCAATATTACTCACCTACAAACCCCAAGACCTACAACAGTGACCTGCCTTCAAGATACACTGGTGTAATAATGGCACAAATATTATGGGCGTAACCAATCCCTTTCTGACTTGATTTAAGGCCCACTCCATCAGATGGAATCCATACCTGACATTGTTAACATGGTCAAGAACTTGAGACTCAAATAAGTCATGGGCCCTAAGGGAAAACCCACTACTATTATTCTGAAAAATATTGAAATGACTCTTAGTGATATACTGCTATACCCACAGAGCAGTACCCCTCTCAACCCTCAGCAGAGAGGCTTAACAGAGGAGGATTAACGCAGAGACCAGCAGCTGGATGATGTGCAGACAATGAAAGACTTGGGGGCAGGTAGCCCTAAGTGGGACGTCTTTAACAAATCCTTCCTCTCAAGGCTCAGGAATCTGTGTAGAAGAAGTGGAAAGGTTGCAGTCCCTCAGAGGTGGTAGATGGCCCCAAGGAAACAGCATCTTCTAAACACGGTGGGGCTGAGTTTCACGTGAACTCACAGAGACTGCGACAGCATGTGGAAGACTGGGATAAGTTCAAACCAGACCAAACCCCAGCCTAAGAGGGGCAAGAGGACACACAGTCCCCAAGCCCAGACCAAGAGACTGTTTTCAGTTGATATCTGCTGAGAAATCATTTTTCTCCAAGGGGATGTCACTGGGTATGTCAGTCACCCCAGGACAAGCCAAGCAACACAAAATGGGCATTTGGGGGGGGCACTTTTTGTTTTGTTTTTAAAATTTTTTTGTTTGTTTGGTTTGACTAGGAAATAACAAGGCTTGCTAAAGGAAAAAACAATTATAGTTTTATTTATTATAAGGGGAAAACTCACAAAACAGAAATGAGAAGTCCAAGCTCAGCTGGGCCCTGTGGGGATCAGAGAAAGGGAGAAGGAGAGGGAGAGGGAGAGGGAGAGGGAGAGGGAGAGGGAGAGGGAGAGAGAGAGAGAGAGAGAGAGAGAGAGAGAGAGAGAGAACCTGGGTTTTGTGCCCATTTTACTCCCAGTCCCAGAAAGTCACACCTTAACTTGGATCCACCTTTTAAAGATAATTGGCTAACAAGGTTTCCCCATCATGTTCCCTTTTTCTCTAAACAAGAGCGATCCAAACACAATACAAAACTATGTGCAGTAGGAACAGATATCAAGTATAAAATTACAAGCAACATAAGCAATATTAATCAAGGAACACATGATAAATGTTTTAATAAACATTTTATTTTGTAGAGTCTAAATCTTATATTGGAATTAAGCTTGGCTAAGTTATGAGAGGAAAGTAACTATGACTATTTAATCTTTAACTCTATCGAAGGCCTGAGAAGGGAGATAATATTAATTGAGTAGGCAGGAAGTAAAATCAAGCAGCTTCCAAAGTGAGGAATAGATGAGGGAGACAATGAGCTACCTGAGCAATCACCCAAAGTCTCATTTGCAGTGTTGAAGAAACCAACTTTGGCTAAGGCCTAGCATAAGTGATGGACCATTTTCAGAGGTAGGAAATTTTTTAGAACTGTCTTACCTGGTCTTGGCAAAGTTTGGCAGTCCTTTTCCTTGTGTCCTGCTTATCCAGTCTGGATACCATGTACTTTGTCAGTGGTTGAGGCATGGGCAGTTCCTTGCCCAAAGGCCAATTGTGCTAAGAAGAAAACAAACTCCGAATGGAGTGTCTTCAGTGATCAACATTCTCTTGGGATTAGATTGGTGCTGTCAAGAGCAATCATGTCTCATGTCAACAGAATCCTAAGTTATTTAAATTCCATGTTATACAGATCCTTGAAATGGTTAAAGATTACCTATTTAGGCAGAATATGATCTCTATGTATCTAAACAACCTAATTAATCTGACTATGTGTATAACAAATATGAACAAGTATTGACCTATAATATTTAATACCTGTATAACATAAGGACTAAGACTTTATGTCAGAATATTAATAATTTGTAAACAAATGTGCAGCAAATGAGGACAATGACCTCAAAATGTGAACAATGTATAAGTATCTTGATCAGAGGTAAGAATAATAAATAATGCAATATGAATATATATCCTAAAGTTGTATCAATATACAAAATATCCTAAACAGAGGTAGAAACATACATATATACAATCTGACAGAATAATTTTACATAGGTGTAAAAATATTGTAAATAGAAATAACAAGTATAATTTGAACTTGTATCAATATACAAAAAACTATACCAACGTAAGTAATCCATAAATAATAGCTCACAAGTATTCACCCTTTTACCCACTATTATTATCTCCCCCCCCTTTTTTATCTCTGAACCTACATAGTTTCCACCCCAACCCTCTACGTGATGCAAGTAATAATCAACAACCCCTAAATGGTGTTCCCAACCTTGAGGACAAACTTTTTTGGGAGAGGGGATGTTGTCCTCTAGAATTGCTTCCTGCTGTCATGGGGGTGATGTTCTCTTAATTGGATCCTGCAAAAGTAAAGTGATGGTTAAGTTTCAAGATTATTATCTAGTACAGTTGCAAATGATTTCGAGCAGTCAATAGGGTTTTTTTCAAAGTTCTTATCTGGAGTTTTGGCCAGAACGTCATGAGAAGGTGCACCATGTCAGCAGCTGGTACCCAAAAACCAGTCTTATAGCATCACTATCAGCACCATGATGTCATCTCAACCAGGTGGAGTTGTTGCTGTGGGGTCCCATCTTCTTCCTGGAAACTTTAAAGATTGCTGCAGGAAAAGGATCTGTAGAAAACTCTATCGTTTTTTTGTGGAAAATTTAAACATTATTTATATAGACAAACATTCAATAAAGAATACAATATAGACAAAATAGAGATTAAAAAGTAAAATTTTTCCTAAAATCTTCCTTCTGTCCCATACCAGATGGCTCCCAATATGAGACAGAAAATTTGAATGTTCCTTTTAACAACACGCTTGGATTTAGAGAAGTAGAGAGCTATTGTCCAACTCCAAAGCCAGCTTTCTCCCTCCCTCCCTCTCTCTCTCTCCATATATATATATATATATATATGTATATATATATATATATATATATGTATGTATGTATTGATCACCTGTCCTCATGAGTCATATTACTTTTTCTTGATGATCTTTATTGGATAGTTATTTTTCCTTCTGTCAGCATCCAAACATCCAGGGTCTCTTTGAATTTTTGAAGATGTGTATTTTCTTGTAAAGACAGGAACAGAACCCTGCCCCAACCCTATATGGTTTCCTTACTACCTGCATGGTTGTCACCATTGTGAATGAGCTGTCATTTCCCTTTCTCAAGAGGTTTTTCTTTTTTTTAAACGAATCTTTATTAATTTTTATGATATCCATAGTTTTTCTTCTCCTGTGGAAACAAGAGCGAAACCGCTTCCCCAATGTAGCATATCTCCTGGTTTGAATTCCAAGGCGTGAAGTCTGTCCAGTAAAGATAATGTCTCATCCTTGGACATAATTTTTATAGCATGTATATTATCTTCCTGGAGAGACGTTCTATCAGTCAATCTATCATAACCCTTCAACAGAGTCTGATTAATACATTCAATAGTATGAATTCTCTCAGACAATGTCTCATCACCCTCTGTCATTGACTGGGTTTTGTTTGTCAAATTGGCTGTATCCTTCCCCAGTAATCTGAATTTTTCTTTTAATTGATTATTTACAGTCTGTATCATTTTTATAGGCTGCATCATTTTTAAAAGTACCTCATTTGACTGGGTTTTGTTTGTCAAATAGGTTGTATCCTTTTCCAGAGTGCTGAATTTTCCTTTTAATTGATCATTGCCAGTCTGAAAAGATTGTATCATTTTTAAAAGTGCCTCATTCTTGGCCCTATTATCAAACCATGCTTTTAAGGATAAAATATGAAGGACAAAGTTAATCCCCAGAATCAAATAGAGGAATGTAGCAGGGAAATCATATAAACCTTGCATAACATCGTACATGGTGTAAGTAAAAAGGCTATTGAGCCCTGGGTGGTTAAATTGTCTGTGATCTTGCCCTTTTGAATTATACATTTATAATTTATATTTTAAATTATAAATCTTACCTGTGGTTGAGTTTGAGCTGGAGTAAGTGCAATAACCTTTACTGCCAGCAGGTGTCTTGTTGCACTTGGAGCTGCGTGGCTGGTTTGAATTTGATTCTAGCGTTAAGTGCTCAAAGATATGATCAGATTAAAAACAGTTATTTAGTGCAAATCACAGACTATGTGCTCCGTTGAGGTCCCTGACTGGTCTAGAATAGCAAGGTAGCAATGCTGAACAGAGGCATCTGGGGAAGCCCAGGGGAGCCCGCCTCTTGCCTGAGTTTCCCCAGTGCAGAAAAACTGGACCCAGAGTGGCTGCAAGTCCTCAGGCACCCTGGCCTTCTGTGACTACATGGCTCTGAGGTGTTTAATGAGGAAATATGAAGGACCTCAGCTAGCAGCTACTCAGGGCCGCTGTGCAGGAATTCTATAACCAAAATAAACAGCAGCGTTGAGCCTGACCGTGGCTGGCCAGAGCTGCCGGAGACTCTAGTCCCACACATCAGGCTCCAACTGTAGACATTAGCTCGATTTTGGAAATAACCAGGCTAGCTAAAGGGTAAAACAATTATATTTTATTTATTATAAGGGGGAAAACTCACGAAACAGAAATGAGAAGTCCAAGCTCAGCTGTACCCCACAGGAATTACACAGAGAGCACATTTGGGTTGTGCACCTGTTTTCTCTGGGTCCCAGAAACCCACACCTTAATTTGGATCTACCTCTTAAAGATAATAAGCTAACAAGGTTTCCCCATGAAGGGAGAGGGAGGGGGAGGGAGAGGGGAGGGAAGGAGGAAGAGAGAGAGAGAGAGAGAGAGAGAGAGAGAGAGAGAGAGAGAGAGAGGGAGAGGGAGAGGGAGAGGGAGAGGGAGAGAGGGAGAGGGAGAGAGGGAGAGGGAGGTCTTTTTTTAAGATCCCCCTCCACATTCTCAGGGAAAATTAAGAGCAGCTATGGTTGCTGACAGGCTTTCCCCATTCTTGTCCTCTGGCAGCTCCGTACACCCGGTCAATACATCCACAAGAGATGAATGTAGTTCTGTTCACAGGTAAGAAACAGAATCCAGCTGAGGAAGCATCTTGTAGCAACTTGGCACTCTTCCTTTACAAGACGGGTTTCATTCTGCAGGTGCAGCGCTCAGCCTGCCCACTGGGCGGTGGGTATGGCCGTGGAATGTGCAAGGCGGGCTAACTGCGGCCTGCGCGTAGTGGAAACAGATTTATCGGAAACGAAATGTTTTTGCTTTGCACGGCCACCGTCAATCTGATGTTCAAAATATGTGCACGTTCCTAGATGCTTGAACAAGCCTATCTTTGCTTTTAACATTTTAACATGAAAGAGACAAGCTATAAAGCGATGTTAAGAGATGAAAGAGAGCTCCAGCAAGGCAGATGGCTCCTGGCAGCTCCACTGAGACAAAAGACTGGGAAGAGTCTGGGATGCACTTGTCCTGGCAGCCTCATGCTCATTGAGGAACTCTGGCTGAGGGAGGAGACCACAGTGCTAGTGACCTGCCAGCGACTACATCATTCCACCACAGCTGACTAACCAGGAGAGTTCCTAACGCATCTGGTCTGACAGCGTGGCATGAGGCGGGGAAAAGAAAAGTAGGTATTGAGAACTTCTTGAGAATAAAGAAATGTTAATTTTTAAAATTGATTTTTTTTCTTCTAAAATCAAATCGAAGTAGACTTTCAGGACGTTAGGCTCTCAGGGAGGAGCTAGCCTGCTGGAGGATGCTCTTCCACAAGGGCAGGTTTAATTCAATTCTTCACTGAGGTATCTGTCCGGCGTTCAAGTCCTTGAATGGCCCCGGAGTGGGAAACTACAACAATAGTAGAAAACACCAGGATGCTCGGCGAGCACTGTCGATGGGCAGTGGTCGAGAGGGACGTGTGTGCCTTCATTCATTTAATCCTCCTCCATTCACTCACTCTTCTGACTGATGACAACCTGCCGGCTTCCAGAACTGCCTTGACAACAAAGCTCCTCCCTTTGTGTTTAAGGGGGAGATGCAGACAGATGAATACAGCATCATACAGTGAACATTAAGTGTTTCAGAGAAAGCTGTGAAGGTGGGAAAAGGTGCCTGGGCGGGGAAGTCCCTGGACAGAACTTCTAGATGAGCTATTTTAGAGATCTTTGCTGCTCCTGGTGGTATTGTGTTGTTATTCCCCTGCCAAATCCTACTCAACAGATACAGCTTAGGTATCTTGCATGTCCTAGGCAGGCTGCTAGGTCCTGGCTCCACAGACATTTAAGTCTGTGCTCTACCTATGATGAGCATCCCTGTCTAGAAAGGTTAGGAATCCATGCTGGATATGTGTTTCCAGTCATGAGGCCTTTTGCTGTTTGGATTATTTACAGGAGTGTAATGAGACATCTCAGGCTGGAGCCCCAGCGAAACATGACATTTGCCTATCATACACAGTGTAAATGCAGCCTGAAGGTGACTTTGTGTGATATGGCCGCTGTGCCCGCATTCTGACTGCAACCTATGCCTCGAGGTCAGGTGTGAAAAGTTCCGCGTGTGTCTCCTGTTGATGCCTCCTAAGCTTTGGATTCTGGAACAGTCTAGATTTTGGAAGATGCTTTCTGTGCTCCGCTGAGTCAGCCAGGGCTTAGTGGCCACCAGCTAGTGAGCCTGGCTGTGTTGTAAACTTTTAATTAAACCTCAGTGTACACATCCGTGTCAGGGGAATTAGGACACAACCTACCTCTGGGTTATCATAAGAAGTCACACAGACGGTTTTAAATTTTAAATCTAAAGCCCCAAGAAATATATTAAATAGGATGAATGAGGATTAAGCAAAGGATGCCAAGTATGAGAAAGCATGCGATAGTGTGGTAGGTGGAACAGACTCAAGCACTTGGCACAGTAGAACACACCAACTGCCATCTGTCAGTGTGATTCCTAATCTTTCACGAACTCCTGTTTGGGCTGCAGGTGGCACCCCAGTTACCGCACAGCTCGCTGCCCTCCTGTCACATGTTCAACAAACGGTTCTTCCAGACTATTAGGAGAGACCTTCTGCTCTCTTCTGGGAGGTCAGCTGATAAGCGACTACTAGACCGAGGGTCAGGTCCGGAGGAAAGAGCGCCGAGATGCAGCCAAGGGCAGCCTTGTGCCAGGCATGGTATATGGTAGTGCACACCAGTATATCACTGCCCTTGAAGTGGCAGGAGGATCATGGGTTCAAGGCTAGCCTGGGTTACTCAGTGTGTTCCGTCTCCAAAAGACAAGGCTGGGGAAACCCTGTGATAGGGACCACTTGGGCTGCTCTGGCTGTGTCAGCAATACTGAAAAAGACAAGCAGCTTTGGAGGGGATAGGACCCTTGACTTTAGAACTTTGCTAGTCTCTAATTTAGAAAGTAAACAACGGACGTTTAAATGGGGAACAGGGGTCTGCATTCTTTGCAGCCTGTAGTGCTGGGGAAAGGGGACTGCAGGTTGTCTGCGTTTTCATGCGGGGAGATAAATTAAGCACCAAACTGCGCAAGCGATTTACACTTACGTGAAAACCCGGAGGTGAGCAGAATGTGGGTGGAAGGGCCTCTGGGGTGCAGAAGTTAAATGAGTTAACTTCTCCCTTGATGTTGACGTGAAGCCACACTCCCAGCCCGGCTGTAGTCTTCTCTTGGAAAATGATGTTTTAGTATCAGAGGGAACCCGACGAGAGTGACAGTAATTCCTCTCCTGAGTTGCATCAATTCTGGGTGGAGACCTGGAACCTGCAGTGTGAGCAGGGAAGGTAGAGGGCTCCCCTGCTCCACCGTGACTGGATCCAGTGTGCTGAGGCATCCCTGCTGGCTGAGGTCACAGGGTGAAGAACTCCCGCTGTCAAAGCCTCCTCCAAAGCTTGTGATTTCAGTTCTTTATGAGTGGCCCACGCTGTTTGATCAGCACAGAAGTCTTACTGAAGTGCAGTATGAGGCATCTTTATTAATTGTGGACTCTCAGAAATTTCTACTCAGGGAGGTAATGAAAGCCCTGGAAGCTCTTGCTCTGCAGACCGCCTTCTTAGTACTGCTCAACATCAGCCGTTAGACCAACAGTTCTCAACCCATGGGTTGTGACCCCTTTGAGGGTCCTATGACCTTTATACAAGGGTGGCCTAAGACCACCAGAATGCACAGATGTTTTCATTAAGATTCATAACAGTAGCAAAATTACAGTTATGAAGTAGCAACAAAATAACTTTATAGTTGGGGGTCACCACAGCATGAGGGACTGTATTAAAAGGGTGCAGTATTAGAAAGGTTGATAACCACTGAGTTATTCTCAATATCCACACAATTATTTAATAACACAGAGTCCCAAGGCTGTCAGGAGGAGGTCTCAGATTGCTGGATAGTTTTTCAGTCTGTTCTATGGCTTTAGGAAAATCTGAGACAGATAGCTCAACCAATCAATAAAGATTAAAGGAAAAATATTGCAATCAAATCAGCATGATCAAAGCACATTCTGTTTTGACCAGTCGAAGCTTCATTTCTTTTCAGACACCATAGTTTAATGTAATCTTGTACTCTAGGGAATTCTTCATATATATTACAGTGTTTCTGAAAAAAAAATCCTTCAACATTTATTAATCAGAAACAGGACTGTCTCTGCTCAAGACAGAAGACAACTTTCAGAGATAAGTTATAAGAACCTTGTTATGGACAGGAGTGGAAGTAGCTTACAGGGTTCCCTCTAGATAGACAGTCCCACAGAATTCCCTTACAAAATCAGTATCTTTATGTGTACCCCATTCGTCAGTTGAAAGTTAAATAAAAGAAAATCTAATGAAATCAATAAAGCATAAGGTAAATATAAAGCAAATAAAAGGATGAGAAGAAAGCCTTTAGAGTTCAACTAAGAGGCCCTAAGTAAGACCTCAAATTGGTGGCGTGATGCCAGAAAAGGGGAAATGGTGTGGAAAGTCCTTCTGAATATGTGTTGTTTTTATTGGTTAATGAATAAAGCTACTTTGACCCTTGACAGGACAGAATAGAGCTAAGTGGGAAAACTAAACTGAATGCTGGGAGAAAGTTCATGGAGTCAGAGATGCCTTGTAGCTGCCGAAGGAGAAGACACCCGTTGGAGCCTGCTGGAACCTTGCCAGTAGGCCACAACCTCGTGGTGATGTATAGATTAATAGAGATGGCTTAATTTAAGATGTAAAGCTAGCTAAAAATGTGTATAAGATAATAGGCCAAGCAGTGTTTTATTTAATTCAGTTTCCGTGTGATTATTTTGAGTCTGGGAAGCCGGGAAACAAACAAGCAGTCTCCGTACAGAGACATAAGTCCTACCTATCATTCTACACAGCAAGACTTAATAGTATAAAGATATCAAAATGTTCCTTAAGTTGACGTACAAATACACAATTTTACAGAAGTGTGAGTTACTCAAATTCTGAAGAATGAATCTGTGTATTTTACTATTAAAAAAACAGGCAATCTTTTGAGACATATACATGAATTATATGTGTATTTACTGTGTACATGTGAGTTACATGTGTATTTACCTTTTGAAAACATTTATTGTTCTTCTTATATCAAATATCTCCTTTCTTTTCTCCTTAGTGTCATATATTTGCCCTTTTGGCTTTTTCGGTGTTATTTTTTTCTTAATTTAATTATAATGTTTGAAGAACTAATTTTTAGAGTAATGTGGGTCATGGACTTTTATGTCCGAATAATATTCCTGATAAACCCGAACACTACTGAGTCACGCTTGTTATGCATGTTCCTTGAATGAATGGCCCTTAGTCCACTTTTAGATGTTTGAGAAGGACCACGCTGCAGCTGGTGGCCCACATCTCATGGGCACTTTCATGTTTCTGGCTTAGATCTACAGGTGTGAGGGGGTGGGAGCAAAGGCCTTTGTGTATTACAGCTGCCGGTGGGTTTTACTGGAATACTTTACACAGATGTGGGTAGCAGCTTAACATCCATATCCACATTGTATGAGAGTACCCTTTATCCCAATTCTCCAATATTGGATATAGTGACTTAGTTAGTTAAAGCCAGGTTTGTTATTTGTCTCTTCTTTTTTAAAGTAAGATTTATTTATTTACTATTCACTTTGCTTGCATGGATATTTTCCTTGCATGTATGGATGTGCATCATGTATATGCTTGGTACTCACAGAGGCCAGAAGAGAGTGTGGGATCCCTGGGACTGGAGTTACAAATGCTTGTGAGTTGTCATGTGGCTGCTGGGAGTGAATCCTTCATCCTCTGGAAGAGCAATCAGCCCTCTTAATTGCTGAGCCATCTTTCTAGCCTGTATTTATGTTTCCTTGGCAATGAGTTACGTGGAAAACTTTCAATGTGCTTTTTTGGTCCGTGGCTCACTTGGCTGTGCACTTTTCTATTGATTTGCCCTCTTGATTCATTAGTATGTTTGGCTGTAGGGCTATAGACCTGTCTCCCAATCATCCTACCGTCTCTTAGGAATGCTGCTCTGGTTCTGAACTTACAGAAGTCCTTGGGACAAGCCACACCCACACACATGCCTTTGCCTGTCATTTGTGTTGTCAACACACTGTTATCTAAAGATGCTCTGCGTTCTGGATGCAGTGTTTCCTGGGATCCACATTGACACAAAGACAGAAAGTGTAGCAGTGGGTGGTACTGGTACACTTTCTGCTGCTGTAACAGAACTCTTAGCTGGGTGTGGTAGCACACGCCTTTAATCTCAACACTCAGGAAACAGAGGCAGGTGGATCTCTGTGAGTTTGAAGTCAGCCTGGTCTACAGAGTAAGTTCCAGGACAGCCAGACTTTCATAGAGATACCCTGTCTAAAGCTAACTGACCAACCAACCAACCAATGACGAACCTTGTTGGGGAACTTGGTGAAGAAATCTTTCGCTCTCAGCTCTGGGAATGCAGCACATGGCGCTGGTCTCAACTTGGCTCTGATCAAGGCCTCATGGAGCAAGTGAGAGGGACCTGGGTTAACAGGAAGCCAGACAGTGACCCTCAGGGTCAGTCACAGACTTTTGTCACAATTTTCTCTCTTGAGGGCTCTCTCAGGGATCCCATGAGAAATATCCCAAACCTCTTCGGAGAACAACCCTCCGGTGACATAAGGATATCTCTGTAGGCACATCTCTTAAAGTTTCCATCACCTTTTAACACTGCCATGAGCCCTCGAGGATGAACATACCCAAACACAGCAATGCTTACTTCAGTCGGGAGGAAAAAGGATTGCCGCACCTGTCTGCACTGGCAGTAGGTCAAATTGTTTTGGGTGTTTCTGTACTCTGTATGTTCCAAGGAACCAGTGTCATTCCTTACTGCTCCTGTTAGCAGTCCTTAGCTAGAGCCAAGTTTTGGGGAAGTTAGTGTGTGCCGAGTTGTTGTTGGTTGCCCTTGAATTGAGTCCCATGACCTTGCCCTGTTCAGATAGCGAATTTTAAAATGCATACAAGGCTTCTGAGACTGAGGGACATCCAGAGGCTGGAGTCCCTGAGGACAGGACCTTCTGTCTCTTATGATGAGAACTCTGAAGGCCATTGCTCTTTAACGTCACCTGTGGTGGTGTGGATATGTAATTATCAGCTGTTGGTTACCATGCTTGAGCCTGTTGTCTGCACAAAGTGAGAGTCAAATGGAGATTCAGCATGCCTGGGGAGCGGCTACATCCCTGGGTTACTGTGTCCGGATCAGCTTTTTTTTCCCCCTTCATTTTTAGCTCTCTTGGTTTCTCCAAATCATCTGGATAGTTTCTTAGTGGTCTGCATGCTTATAGGAAGGTAAGACATTGAGTCTTCATGTCACCTCATTGTGTATTACTCTTGGGTTCTCTAAACAAGTGACGCCAGGCTTCTGTCTCAGTTTTTCATTCCCAAATTGGAGATTATGGAAACCGTAAGGCAGATATAACCAGTATTAAAAAAAAATCAAAGCTTCATAACAAAGATGTTGTTTCTCTTCCAGTACTTCTTATTCTTCAAATTACCATCTCCTCGGGCACTGAATTCATCTGGAACTCAAATGCACCGTTTTACCACAAGAGGGTGCATTTGACCTTTGTCAACGATGGAGTCTAAGATTTGAACCCTCCCTTCATAGACATGGACTTTTCAGAAGGCTTAAGATGTAAGAGATGAATTCCAAATGTCATCATCAAATTATTCAGGAAAGTTCTGCATGTGTGCGTGTGTGTCTCTGTGTGCACGTGTGTGTCCAGGAAGTCTGCAGCTCCTTCCCATGTGTTTGCTGATGACTGTAGAATGGGAACCACGTTCTGGCTGCATTTCTTCCACCAACCAGTAAATCTTTGACTTTCAAGAAGACAAGGGTTTTTATTGGGAATCAGTTAGAAAAAAAAAATCCCAGCTCAAGAACATTGCTGCTAATGTGTCACCTTTAGTGCCAGCTTTCTCTTCAGTTGGGACATTTTTGGTATCACCTCCCACTGGGCTGGCTGGTTTGTGTCACCAAGTCATGATATATGTCGTCCCTTATCCCATTGCTATTTCTGTTGATTTCCCCAAATCTAGAACCCTCGGACGAGAAGAGCCTTGAGGAAAGCCAGATTTTTGAACTTGAATTTTTTACGGTTACTTAGTGGGCAGGTTATCTTACATATGTTGTATAAAGCTCATAAGCTGCCGTTTAGCTTACACTTATCTTATACACATCATGTAAAGCTTGTCGGCGGCGACCCTGTAGCTTTAGTCAGAATTTTGTGTTGCTGTGACTGGATACCTGCTGGAAATCAGTTAAGGCAGGAAGGATTCATTTCGGTGTGTGGTACAGAGGTTTCAGATCATGGTGGGAAGGAATCTGGGGACAGAGCAGTTTACATCGTGGTGGCCAGGAGGCAGAGCAAGTGGAACAGATTGTTGACCTGATATAACCGTCAGGGGCCCACCTCTGGAGTGCTGCTCCTTCAGCTGGATTGGTCTCCTGAAATTTCCATGGTCTCATTGAACAGCACCGCCATTTGGTGAGCAACTGTTGAACGTTATCCTGCGGGGGGGGCCCCCCCATTTCACATTCATGTCTTCCTATCATTGTCACAGCTTATCGTGAGGTTTAGGGAAGTAATGTTAGTGTAGCAGATCCTATTCAAGAAACTATTGGAGAAAGAAAGATAGTCTTTTGTGGGGAGAGGGCTCATCTACTTTCCTTCCTCCTGTTTGTACTCCCAAGTAAAGAATGTTTTTATGCTTCTTGCTTTGCAGAAGGATTGTAGTAGAAATTGCCTCTAAGTCGCTGCTCAACCCTGAACGTATGGGTGGACTCTGCTGTGGAGTTCCCTTTGAGGGACTCAGGACAAAGGGGTGTGGGAGGAAGGGAAGGGTAGTCAGTTTAGAGCTTGTCTTACCGTGTTCACAGTATAGGGCAATGGTGGCTCTTCAGGAGGTCTGGAGAGACTGAGCGCCAGGTTCTGAAGCCTTCTGCAATCCCCATGTCCCTGTCATTAAGCCACAGCAGTGTGGAAGCCGACACATCCAAATTTAACTGCACCCTGGGCTCAGTCAGTCAGGATCTCAGCAGGGCTGTGCTGACCGAGAGACTGAACCCCCTTCCTGTTGCTGTGTGGGGGCTCTCAGAAACCTTCCTGATTCTGTGAAACTCTCAGTCAGGTGCAGTTAGATTCTGATGGTGAATAAGTTGCCTACTAGTTTACTTAACAGTATTCAAAGTCAGATTTTATTGAACTTAAAAGAAAATAGAGGAATAGCTATGGCAATCTGTGCAATGCCTTGTACCTTTGCGAGATCTGTCGGTAGGCCTTAGCACTTAGTAAATCGATGGCAAAGCCTTTTAGCTCTCCCGCCTGATGACAGATTGTGCCTGTGTGACCTGCATATCCCTGGTATTTCTGCATGCTCCAAGGTGCTCCCGTGTGATAGACACAGTAAGCATCTACAGCAGGCTGAAACCGTGGCAACAGCTTACAAAGTGATGGTGAAGAAAGATAATTTAAGTCTCTGGCAGGATTTGCTTTGTAGGTTAGAGGGAGACCAGAGGATGCCTCCTGAAATAGGAAGCTTTGGGATATGGTTAACTTTAAAACCTATTTATTTATTTATTTATTTATTTATTTATTTATTTATTTATGTGTTTGTGCGCACGTGTGTGTGTAAGTGAGTGGGTATGTGTGATGTGTGCACGTGAGTGTAGATGCCATGAAGGTTAGAGGCTTCAGATCCCCCTGGAGCTGGAGTTAGAAGGGATTGGGAGCCACCTGATATAAGTCCTGGGAACTGAAATTCAGTCACCCAGAAAGCAGTAAGTGCTCTTAACAACTGAGCCATCTCCCTAGTCCCGTAGTGCTCCCAACTTTAAACAGAGGGAACTTAGAGATTAGGTTGTTTTTTGTTTTTTGTTTCTAGAAAGAACAGTGTAGTCTGGATCATCTTTTGCAGGGAGACAGAAGGTCAAGACCACAGCAGATTCTCTGCCCGTTTATTATCTCTCCCAAGCTATTTTCCTTCCCTAATCTGTCCATATCCCCTCTTCTCCTTTCTCAGTGATTTAGACTTCTTCTGAGTCCCCCAGCCATCTAGACACCACCAGGATGCCCTACAGTGCAGCTTAACCCTGACACAGACTGTTAGCGTCACACCTCTCAGCATTGGGGAACTAGTGTCATAAGATGATTTTACTTTAAACAGTCTTCAAAAGTCTCAAGTTATGGCATTGATACCAAGCAGGCTCAATAAGGGCTCTGGGTCTATAATTGGCTAGATTTGCTCCTAGAATGCAGGATGTAGAAGCTCGGTGCTTGTCTACTCCCTAGACTTTGAGAGCTGTTATTTTCACGCGGTTCTGTTTTTACCATTCTAACAAATATTTTTTTTTTAATAAGGTTTTAAGACTTCTTTCCTTGACCCCAACCATGAGGGTTAAGAGAAAATTCCAGTTTGTGTTATACTAACTAGTTTAAAGAAATGTTTAAGCGTGCTAAGCTCTTGGGGGATTTCTAATAGATTGCTCAACACCACACCAAGTGATTTTACTAGGTCTTTACTCGCCCAAGTTAACCACAACTGGAGCCGGCCAACTTCTTCCCCTTCTGTGGGAACCTTCTCTTCCCTGGCACTTGGACCACCCAAAAACTTGACTGCAGAGGGTTTAGGTCTCCCGTAGTCTACAGACCTCTTCTCTATTCCCACTTCTGGATGGTTGTCTTTGACCCCAGCATTCAGCTCGTGGAGGGTTCTCTTTATGTCCTAGCCTGTGTGCCGTACTCACAGAGGACCCCGCGGGATCTTAGAAGCAGATCTCGTTGACACTTGGAGCTCTGAAGGCCTTAGAGGTCTGTATCTCTGAACTGGTTCTTTGTTTTAACCTCTACATCTTCCTTGGCTTTGTCCCTGTCCTCTGACATCATCTTTCTCCCTTTCTGGACTGAGCAAGTTCAGGAAGGCCCACAGAACACCCCAGGGCTGGTGGAGCTTCTCATCTCTGTATGACCAAGTCATGTCCAAATCTGCCCTCCTTCCTGTGTTCAAGCACCACAAAAAACTACCCACATGTATGTGCCTACACGTGTGTTCATCTGAAATACTGCAACTCTGTTTTCTTAAGTCAGCAAGCATTTACCGAACATTTCTGTGCAAGGCATAGTAACAGGCTGACCTTGAAGTTCCCAAAGAGTAAAACATTGCGATACAAGTCAGGGGAAGAAGAAAAACCTCTAGCTGCTCAAAGGAAAGAGAGATTACCCCTGAGTTTCTGTGCTGCCACCATCTTGGCTTTCCCCCCCCAACTCCCTTCAGTATAGTCCCCTAGTAACTGGGACTCCTGTTTTACTGGTTCCCTCTAGTATAACCCCCTAGTAATGGGGACCCCTGCTCCCCGCAGCACACCAGCAGCACACATGCAAGTCCCAAACACCTTCAGCAAGTCTCACTGGCGTGTGAATTCTAATTGACTTCCTTGCCTAGTCCATTACCTTGGTTTATTGAGTTTAGTTTGCTTCCTGCAGAGACGATCACAGTAGTCACACAGCATACAAAGCCATCAAGTATGAGCATGAGTCTGTCCCTCTGTTCCTGCTAGTGCCCAAAGCCTGGGGAGGTCATCTGGGAGCGTGCTTTTCCTCCTAGTTCAAAGACAATAAAGAAGGGAGCCATGCGTACCTTAAATCAAGATGAATAACCCAATGAAAGTTATTTATTAATGCAATGAGGGGCAGGGATCACAGTGCACAACCCAAATCTCCACAGCCAGCTAACTGCACAGTATACATTTTAATTCAAGATTGCTTGCAGTGTGTGTGTGTGTGTGTGTGTGTGTGTGTGTGTGTGTGTGTGTGTGCGTGTCTGTATCAGTGTCTCTGTGTGTGTCTGTGTGTTTGGAGATTGGAAAAGCACTCTCCTTTCTGGCTACAGGACTTGCAATTTGTTGTAAGATGTATGTGGACTGGCCCTTTGCTGAACGAACATCTGAACCTGTGTAGTTAGTTGATAAAATGTTCGGAGACCTGAGAGAGAACTGAACAGGACTGCATGAATTTCTCGGGCGCCTTTTAGCTCCTCGGTTGTGGTTGTGAGAGCTCAGAAATGTACAATGTGAGCACAGGCTTCCTGTTCTTTTGTGGTTTGCAGCTGCTCTGACTAACAGGTCTTTGTAGGTCTCTGTTCGTTTCCCACGAAATGTTCTGAAGACAGCTAAACTGAAGTTCAGCCCGACAAGTAACACAACCCTCCCGCCCCCCCCCCCACGGACTGTGGTGGGTGGAGACCTGGCTCCCACAAATGACCAGACCTTCCTGATACATCCACAGTCCCTTGTGACCCACACGGCCACCGCAGCAGCGATAAGGAAGCCGAGAAGTTTCTACACCCCGATAAGCCTCTCTGCCAATGCAACAATCCAAATTAGACCAAATCAAACCAAATTAGTAAGGTTTAATGCACTAATGCAGGTTTAATGGATAAAAATTCTACCAGATGATGTTCCAGACCCTCGCGCCCCAGAGGAGATGGGAAAGGAAGACCAGAAAACCACATGTCTGTTCTCTGGGTGGGGGCAATTTAAATACCCTGTGGGAGTGGTCTTGAGCATCTCTGGGGGACGGGTCATCATTTGGCAGGTTTTCTGAGATGCAGCAGGGTTTGGAGAGAGATAGGGAAGGGGGCTTGTGGTTGAGCTTCCTCCTGAACACTCCACCAGAACATCCCAGACTCTTTGGGTATATGGATACCAGGGGCTGGGGTGAAGCTTCCATCGAACAGAAGCATTTTGTACCTCACCCCAGCCCAAGTCTGGGAAGGAATCTGTTGTGTAGGCTTCCCTTTCGTAGTTCCTTAAAAAAAATCAAGGAAAACTTATTAATACACAAACAATGGCTCGAGTTTCCCAGCCATTTTGGGATCTTAACTCCTCAGTGCTGCAGACTTGGGGAAGTGAAGCCTTGAGGGAAGTGTTTGGGTCAAGAAGCACAGTGCTCATGAATGGGTCAGCTGTCCTGCAAATTTGCATCCCTTTCTCCACTGTGGACTTCCTCCCTCCGGACCTGTGAGCCAAAACAAACTTCAATTCTTTGTCAGCTGTTCACCCCAGGTTCCCTTACAGTCACAGAGGGTGGACTAAGAGATGGCTCAGGATGTGGCCATGGTGGGTGGCAATGCTCCAGCTGTGGACTGGAGGAAGGACTCAGGGGCAATGCCTGGTGGATTGTGGATTCTCATCCCCTGGGTACTTTGAAGCATCAGAGCACCCAGCAGGAGGGATGTGAGAGACATCCCCTCCAGCACATCCAATGTCTCTCCTGTAGGAGATACACACCAGAGCTACACACCAGCTGTGGATCTGAGGGAGACTGCAGCTGACTCAGAAGTGGTCAGCGAACATGGCTGCGAACAACAAACAGTTCTTGTCTCTTATAAGCCTGGTGTTTTGTAAAAACTCTAAAAGTTTATTCTTACTTAAACATACATAGAAAGAAAATTAAAATCCCATGTAAGAATCTATTTAAAAGTCCTAAACTGGGTAGTGGCGCACACCTTTAATCTCAGCCTTCAGGAGGCAGAGGCAGACCAATCTCTATGAGTTCAAGACCAGTCTGGTCTACAGAGCAAGTTCCAGGATAGCCAGGACTATTACACAGAAAAATGCTGTCTCGAAAAAATGGAAAACGAAACAAACAGTAAAAGTCCTGCCACAGTCTGCTTAGGTTCCAAGTTGGGATAACTAGATACTGTTATGGTTTATTGTCTGTTGCTATAACAGAAACTTCACCCACTGCTGCTATGCAGGTTCTAGCACTGCCTCTATTGCCTTAACTGATAATTAAGACAAAATTAGATCAGCACTCTTCAAGTCCAGTTCAGTGCCCCTGAGTAAAGGACTCCGCTCTGTAGCTACCACACGCCTCTTCTGCATCCTCTCTCTGCTCTGTAGCTACCCCATGCCTCTTCTGCATCCCCTCTCTGCTCTGTAGCTACCCCATGCCCCTTCTGCATCCTCTCTTTGCTATTGCTAACCCATGCCTCATCTGCATTTTCTCTCCACCCTACCTTTCTACCCTTTCTTTTTGTGATCTGAGAATTTTCTATCTCTGGGAGATCTTTTCTGACAGCTTGTCAACAATTTGTGTTTCTGTATCCTTGAAGAAGGTTATTCTAAAGGAACAAAAACCATGTAAGAGAGGAAGCAAGAAGAGGCTTTGGGATTGTGTA